TTTTTTTAGATTACATACATACAAAAATTTTTCACCACGCGCGATTTGTTGCGGTTTATGCCAAATTTATGCCGAAACAAATTCAGGAGGAAAAGCACACGGAAAAAATGGGACGAACAGTTTATGTTGAGGAACATCTTCGCACATATTTAACATCGTTAGCGAAACCAGATGGATATGTGATAGGATTGATTTTAGGACAGGTTAGATTTTCCTTTGCTTCTCTGTGCCGATCGCACATTGCTCTCTCATTTTTAACATGCGATAAGAAAGTCATACAATTTTATGATATTAATGTAATAATTTTATAATTGATTTTATATTAATACAAAACTCAAGCAGTGATTCTTACATATTTATGTTTTTTCTTTAATCATTGGATCTGAGAGCAAAGAAATTTTATTCTACAGATGCATGATATTAAATTTTACGATAAGTTGTATGTATTGTTTCACTGTCTTATTTGATATTACAGAGTGCTGGGCAAAAGGACTACATTGTGCATTTAGCGAAAACACCACCTCCTCGCACTAAAAATGTCGTGGAAGAAACATTAATTAGTTCCACAGTGCCTACAGAAGAGGATGCAGCAAATATATACATCAGATCTGTTAAAGATATACCTATGCGTTGGGTTGCTGATCATGCTAAACATGTATGTTATAACCTTTTTATATTGGATAGAGCAGGATTTTTTCACGATACTTAATGTTTATGTTTCTAAACAGATTATTTAAAGAAGCAATCATGATTGTATAATATAATTATAAGCACTATAAAGAGATATTGTTATAGTAAATTTTTGTATTGCTTTAAAGTTGAAACTGAATAGCTCCTATCTATGCTAATTATGAAATAAGATTTAATTACTTATTTTTATGAATTGTTTAATTAGAAACGAACAAATTTTTTATTTAGCAGAAACCATTAAAAGCACAATTAATATTTCAAACAATTCTTACAATTAATATTTCAAATCAAATAAAAACCAATACAATCTCTGTCAATACATTTTGATATTTTTTTACAAATATAGTTATAATATTTAATGATGTGCAATAACATGAGTATTTTTGCAAGTAATTACAGATATATCTGAATATATAAATAAGTATTTGAAGAATAAAGAATTATCAATGTGCGTGCGCGCGTGTGTGTATTTAATCAACCTACTACTGTATTTATTGTATAAAAAATGATGTTGAGTTTTGTTTTCTCACAGGTTACAAGAATGTTACCTGGTGGAATGTGGGTTCTTGGTGTATTTATTGTTGGACCTGAGGATATTTTAGATGATATTAGTAATATAAAAAAGCTTAAATCAGTTTTTGGTGCAATTCACATAACTTTGTCGAGGAATAATAAGTACTTCTGTGGAAATAATCAGGATGAGAAGCTGATATTAAGTTTTAACAGTATTGCACAAAAGTATGCTGACTCCTTCAAGGAGATTTAAAAATTTTACATTGTATTTTCACTGTTTTAATTTTACCTTTAGATATATTTGCAAGTCTATAGATACTGCTAGGGAAGTTCAAGTCCCGCTAAAGACTAATAAAAGTCTACTAAGTATGTTCAAACCAGCCGATTTGAAATTCCAAGAAAAAGCAACCAAGTGGCATCAACTTGAAACTCTAGTTGACTTTGACAGATTATACCTTATTACTGTAGACAAGGATCCTGAAACGCTCAAGAAGCAATTACAGGTATTAATGAACGAATACTTAATTATTTGTACAATACCACATTAAAAACATTAAATGTTACAGAATATTCTGATAAACGTAGCAGATTTAATCTATTCTTCACTTATCGTTATTGAGGGAGAAGTCAGATCTCCAGATGACACATTGGAAACACTTGGCAAGAGGAAGAAGAGTAGTAACAAAGAATGTAAAAATAAGACAGATGATAGTAATAATTCACTTCAAGTCAGCCTATATATTCCCTGCGTTAGTATAAATACAATTTTGTTAAAGCTTACAAGGTTAAATAATAAAGAGCATACAGTCACAACTAAGGATGTAAATAAGTTATATATTATTTAAAAACAATTTCATAACAATAAGTAGACGTTTCGGTCAAGATTTGACCCTCTTCAGTACAATAAAATTGAATACGTTAAAAATTAAAACTAAATACACAATTCATCTGATAAATGTAGCGATAGCTAGTAACAAAAATTATTATTTCCTTATAATACGGAATTAATCGCAATCGATCGAAGTAGATTAAGATAACAGTTAATTGTTATCGCGCTATATGGATAGAAAGAAATTAATTACAAAAGTTTTTTCTTCCATGATACAATTAAGAATTCTTCATTTAAAAAACGACGAGCCCCACACGCAAGTACCGAGAAGAGACACGCAAGTACCGAGTTGTGTACCGAGTATCCTGTGGTGCGAGGACTCCACTGAACACTGTGATGATTTAAGGTAAAGAGTGAATTTAAACTACCGTAAGTCTCTTCGTGTGGGGCTCATGGAAGAAAAAACTTTTGTAATTAATTTCTTTACGTATTCAATTTTATTGTACTGAAGAAGGTCAAATCTTGACCGAAAGGTCTACTTATTGTTATGAAATTGTTTTTAAATAATATATAACTTATTTACATCCTTAGTTGTGGCTGCATGCTCTTTATTATTTAACCTTGGAAAATTAATTTTATTAGTCACAAGATAACAATAATATGGACGTAAGAACAACACCGTGCAGCGCATCGATACGACTAATTGGACAATTAGTCAGTAGGACGTTTGTACATCAGAGAGCCAGTATTGCAGAAGCCAATACAGCAGTGAAAGAAGATATAGTGAGATCTCTCGCAAGTAGATTGGAAATGCATTGGGATAGTTTAATAGAAGAAGAAAATGATTCTCCCGAAGGTAAATCACGAATGAGAGATATGCGATATAAATATTATAGTAAAATTTGATACTCTTGTATTCTGCATCTTTGCAACTTGTTTTCAGAGAATATCACGTTGCATGAACTACCGAGACGGGTGTTAATAGCATTACCAGATAATAAAGTTACGTTATCGGATTATTTGTTTCCTGGCGAAGGGCCGCAAGAAGCATTATTATCATTACAGGAACTTTTAGATCTCAACGTACAAGAAAGTCAGGTTCAAAAAGAGGTCGAACTACAAGCTGGTGAGTAGAAAAATATTAAGTATCATTGTAGCAACAATAAAGTCACATATATTATTCGATTGTAACCGAATATGTTAATGCAGATCCTATAGAAATCTACTGTCAAAGTAATGTCAATACTAAAGCGTTGGATAATAATGCTGATACAACTGGAAATTATCAAATGACTACGTACCTTACTGGTTTAAGTGTTGCATTTGTTATATTGTTGGTAGCTGTCCTCGTTTACCAGTTCATGATTTAATAATATATATTTTATTCTATACATGGTACATGTGAAATAGCGGTTTATTTATATGTTATGTATACTATACAGTGTCCATTTTAAAGTACATATATTTTAAAATCATAAAAATGTAAATATCGTTGCAAAAATTTTAAATTTAATATACACATTTTAAAATTAGCATATAATAAAATTTCTTTAACCTTAATATGATGTTCTTATGAGATAGAATTCTCCTAATTATTTCTCCTAAATAATTTTACACAAATTTATAAAAATGACAAAACTTTAAACATGAAATAAGAATGTATAGCTCGCTCATCTTTCTCTCATATGCATTTTTCATTTTTGTTAATATATTTACAGGAAAATAAAATATTACAATATGTTTCTAACTTGCTTTATATTATATATGCATTTTATTATAACATCTACATAATATATACATATACCGTATCATACACATGTATTTTTATATACAAAAGAATAATAATAGTCTTATAATTTTTAGTCTTCGTAATGGCAATCCTTATATCTTTAGTATGACTCTTCTCATATCGCATGATAATGCCAAATTATAGGTAATAACAATTTTGTTACAAAATTCGTTAATAAATTAGGCAGTGATAATTCTAATGTTTAAATGCTTGCTATCAACTGCGTTACTTTAATAAATCTTGTTTGTATATTCTGTTTGTAAAATTCTCTATGCTAATGTGTATGAAAATTTTATTTACAAAACTTTTTACACTGTACACGACAAATTCCTTCAAAAAGACAATATCTCTAAGAACGCTGGGGAAACGTAACAAAAAAATATCGTAGTTTTTACGCTTTTTCGACAATAAATGTTCTTTCTTTACTTATGTTGAAAGTAATGTTCCTCTTTTTTTTTTCTTTCATCTTTATACTATTCAAACATTTTTACTTCATTCTCTGTCGTAGTGTAACTTTGATTCTTTTCCTCATTGAATGAAAGCACAAATAGGTGCCAGAAATATGATTTATACACAGCTATATCGATTTTTTATATTTATGTAGCAAAATCACTAATTTTCAATGATTGTATTGTATATATACATATGAAATAATGCAAAATGTATATATTTCTAATAATTAAAGATGTCATACATTGAAAAAATAAATTTTCTTATATGTGATACAACTTATAAATTTACATAAACGAAATTAAGTAGCTTATGTGACTTTCCTTTACATCACTATAATTTCTTCTTTCGAGCAACTTTTTTTTATATCTTATATAGAATCGCGAAGATACCTTATAGAATTGTGAATAATTTAATGTAAACAATAAATTAATTAATATATTAATAATACTTTCCAAAATTTTTTCTAAAAATTTCTATAGGCAGCTTCTACATTTAATGACAATTCCACATTCAACGCAGAAATATGTATTTGCAAAAATGGGATATATCATCGACATTCTTTCTCATATGCTTATTATAGTTCAATATGATTGTGATATAATAAATAGCAGTCATACGAAATTATGATTTAAATACATTATTGCAACTTAATTATGCAATTAATTATACAAATTTAATTATCAAAATAATTATATTTGTACTTTAATCATAGCATGTGAATTCCGGCCTATATTTTGTTTGTGACTTAATTTACTAATTTTTAAAATTTCACGAAATCACTTTTTCTGCCAAAAAAAAAAGCATAAAACAGTGTAAAAATATACTATTTCTTGCAATTCATGATAATTGACGGCTACATTTCCATTTAATTATCATATCGTGTGTGAATGTTTTTCGATGAGGATGCAAACAAATTGCAATCCTTGTTTTAAAACACGATATTAAAATTGCACTATCCATTAAACAGAAATCAATTATTCTTAATCTCTACGAGTTGCAACTTTTATATTACACCTATTTTTATAAGACCTGACTGACTTCCTTTACCGATGCTCGCATCTTCCAACGAATCCAAATCTAAGGCGGACTCTATCATAGTCGTGTCCTGCAATAGTCTAAGTCTAGACGCAGATAAAGGAGTTGTTACAGTTACTGTTGGTATGGAAGATGTATCCAGAGCGGAAGAGACCACGACACTCTGACGAGAAGGCAGCGGAGCGATTTCATCGATATCAATTGGTGCTATATTGAGAGACGCTAGCGGTATTTCGTTGGTAACAAGTTGACTTATACTGTTCGTGGTACTACCTAAAAACAAAATTTATAATGCCAAAGATAAGTCATCTTATTTTGATGTTGTTGACATGGACAATTTATACAAAAAAAAAATAAGTGCACATACAGCATTAAAATATAAATAATTGCTATTAAACCGTGAAGGGAAACAAGCTGTTATAAAACTTCCTTAATATAGATAGGAAAGAAAAAAATTATATCGTACAATTATTATCAAGGTGCAGAGCGTTGGCCTTGTGTTCTTTTACACACAATGTATCAGCGATGCAAGCTCCTATCATAATCAATTACCCATTTAATAATGCACTAATTCTCAGTACACATTCTTACATTCCGTAAAGTTAACATCTTACATTAGACATAACACTGCAAAAATGTTTCATTTTTTTTTTTACACTCGTTCCATTTATGCGTGAAGACAAAAAAGAGTATATCAAACCACACTCGTTACATTCTTTGGTATTACAAAATATCTTACCGAATTTTGTAAATTTGTAAAGAGAGCATATGCACATCGAAAAATTAAATGTTATTATTGAATCAGAACTTTTCTTTTAAATAAAAACAAAAACTTCAATACATTTCCGCGTATACAACTAATTTACAGATTATATAAAATTTTATCTTCCCTATTATATACTATATATATATAAAATATAAAACCAAATTATAAACCAATTAGTCACAAGCCATAAACCCTGTAATTAATATATTGCTCCAAAATTAGTCTCTTAAAAATATAAAAGAAATATGTCACGTGATTTATTAATACTAGTAAAAATATAATCAAGTCATTCGTATATTAAAACACATTCAATGACTATCAAAATGTATGAAATGAACTTACCAAGTAGTATGCTCTGAGCCCTCGATAACAGGACGTAATTTTAAACAACAAAGAAATACAAATTTATTGAATTATATCCAAATTATACTAATCACTAAGAAAAATGTCACTTATATTTTTTTTGTGTGTGTGTGTGTGTGCGCGCGCGCGCGCGCGCGGTATATATGTGAAAGTGAAGAACGATATAAAAAAAAACGTGTGCACTTTCATTGCTTTTATATATATATATATAAGCATTTCAAAGGTTCAAACGTTTAGTGTGTATAGTACTTGTTTATATAATAAGTAATATATAAAATATTAATTAAAAAGAATATCATTAAGAGAAGTCACATCAAACAAAATTGGTATTATATATACCCTTAACTCACCACCATAACTGTAATATACATTTTTTAAATAAACATTTATATGTATATACGTAATGCAAAATGGTATTTTCAAAAAATAAATAGATCTCTTTTTCTCAACAATTAAATTCAACTTCTCGATATTTGTATATATAGTTTTTTTTTAAATTCTCAATTGAAGGAATCAAGAACAATCACGTATAATCATTTACAATATGCATATATACATACATACATACCTACATACCTACATACATACATACATACATTCAAATCAGTACACTCTTTCTCAATGTGAAGATTTTTCAAGAATAGGACGAATTACAATTCTAATTGTCAATGTTTTCTAACAAGTCCAAGATTTCTTTAGTATAAGACTGTAATAATTATAATTATTTTATTATTCTCTTTATATATATATCCACTATAAATGAATTTTATAATTCAAAAATGCGTCATTGGTTGATAATAAACGTTAAATGTCCTCATTATCACTTAATGAGCTCATGATAAAACGACGATTCAAAAGATCTTCCTCCGTACTATCACTCGGGCATAACGAATTCTCTGTATACGATAAATTGTTAGTTAGTGGTCCGGAACCGAATCTGTTGACTACGAGGCCAATTGCGGTCTGTCCGATAATCGGTATGCCACCCGTGCCTAATATACGCGCCGGCAGAATATTCCTCGTTATTGGATATTTTAAGCTGTGTTCGGCACATCTCAAATTGTTATATTTAAGCATATGCGGGGATTGCGAAAGCCGTAATGGATCTTCAGAATAGCACTGGGGAAACTTTTGTAGATCGGTATAACCGTTCTTTTCACTTATCTTATAACGTAAAGGATCCTCAGAGTATCGTTGAGGATACTTTTGAAGATCAATGCCATATTTCTGTTCCCCTATGCACTGGTCGTATATAAGATTATTATCCGAGCACCTATGATATTCCTCTCTACACCTATGAGGATATTTGTGCAAACCATCCTCGCATCTACACGGATATTTTTGAAAGTCTGGATTTAACCGGTCTACTTCGGTATATTTAATATGTTTCACAGAATCCTGAGAGCAATGTTGCGCCGGGTATGGCGGCACATAAGTATCGTTTATGTATTGACGCGGATATTTTGGTAAATCCTCGGGACAACGTGTAGGATGTCTCAAGAGGGTCAACTCACCGTTTATCGACTCTATTCTTGGAGAATGTTGACCACTGATCAAGTTATTCATCGAGCTCGTAAGATCCGTACTGGGACTCGTTTGAACCGTCGTACCGTTTGACTGTCAAAATGAATAATAAAAATAACAATGTAAAATGTATACATTATTGTACATCTCTTACTATATTTAACTATATTATCAAAGTAGATTAGTAAACACATTATACATAATTACCTGAGGCTGCACAATTTTGGCAGTACCGTACGTTTTATTATTAGTAATTACATTATCATCACCAACTCGTTCATGTTCTGCGCGATATTCAGGTGTGACTATCCCTCTTCGATCTGAAACGATATGGTCCGAAAATGAATTCAATACACAATTAATGGATGACGACATAGCTATATTCTTCGATTCTATGACTTGCACATTTGCATAGATGAATATTATAGCAACTTGTACGAGAAAGATGTTACCGATTAAACTAGGTGGGGCCGGTCCACATAACACATAAAAAAAATTTCCACAAATGTTTCCTTGACTGTAAGGATTAAAATTATCCTGCCCTCTTCTATTCGTGAACGACCCTTTAATCTAAAAAATGACAGCAACAATTAAAGAAAATTTTTGACATAATTTATACATGATTTTGTGTGTGTGTGTGTGTGTGTGTGTGTCAAATGTACTTACATCTTCGTTAGTCGTTTGATTGCTGCTAGTTAAATACGTATGAAAACCAGCGAGGCCTAAGATACTCCAAACAGAGAAGAAACATACGACTCCTACAATTACACTACTCGGGGATAATTTTACAGCTTCTAAAAATGGCTTGTTATCTTTTGTAACTAAAATCACAATAAACATATACGAAATGTTAATTTCGTCATAATCATAATTGCGCGTTTATTGATTTATTATCCAGAAATTAATATACTTACGCATAATAATATGCGTGACTGCACATACAAATATAAAAACACAAAGAAATGCGAGGGATACTATAAAAGCATAAAAATATCTATAATTTCTTCTGCCCACGCAATTACCAACCCATGGACAGTGATGATCGAATCTCTCTGTAAGAATAGTTATATTTTTCAAATTTCTCTTGCTTAATATATATATATATATATATCTGTGATTAAAGTAATATCTTATTCGAAATTAACCCTGACGAGTAGTAGTCAGTGTAGCTGACAATACGAAAGAGAAACAGAAAACAAGTATATACAACTTTGATAAAAACAATAGATACATACCTACACAGTTGTCACATAAACTACAATGGGAGGCTCTAGGTGGCCTAAATATCTTGCATGTAAAGCAATATTTCAGTTTTACTGGTTGTCCTCTAATCAAGACTTCTTTCGTTCTGGGAGGAGGTCTGTATGTTTTAGAGTTGCCATTGTTCGGTACTTCTACAATTATGAAAAATGTTTTAAGAGCATTGTTCAAATCTTATAATAAACATTTGTTTATTATGTCTAAATTAATATTATTAATCTTTTAAAACAAGTAAATTAAACCATGTAATTACTATAAATATTCTAGTTATATAATATTTATACCAATTTGTTTTTCAATGTAAGCTGCTTCATCAGGTGTCGCTCTTGGAATTACTCCAGGATCGCTGAAGCTTGTGCGGAATAAAGCAGACATTACAAATATAAATAATAAAGCTCCTATTACTGGTATTGCTGGTGTAACATGTAGTGCCAGATATGGACAACTGGAAAAAAAGAAAACTATTGTCCAGAAATTGTTCCATTTGGTATATATATAAAAGCATATTAATTTTCCTACTAACTGATTAAGAATAGCATTTACAGTCCAATCTTCAATATACATCTTGTATATCAAGATACTGTACAATTGTTTCATTTGGATGCAGTTTTTAACATCAGACAATCTTAAATATAAGATTAAATTATGAATACCATCTTAATTGCATCCAATGTATCTTTGATTAAAAGAATACAGAAGTTGTTTATGTTCCTAATTTTACCTTTAGAGATAAAGAGATTTATTCTTAATATCACATATAATATAACGCATGTAGATAATATTTATTCAGAAGATCAGAGAACAATCCATTTGATGAGGCATACAGTGTGTTAATAGATTAAGAATGGTATTTGTAATCCAATCTTGTATTTAAAATCATCTCGATTATGATCTTGCGATGCAATATAATTGCTTTAATAGTCGGAATCTTAAGAATCTTAAACCATCCAAGAACCAAGATCAGATCTAAGGTCAGTATTCATCGTTGATTCTTATATTCAAAACCATTTTAAATACAGTCTTAAGATATCACAAATGAATTTGAAGATCGTATTAGCATCCTAAGACATTATTTAAGACATTTACTATATATATCCTAGCCCTAAAATGATTTTGAATATAAGATCAGATCGCATGAATAGGGTAAGGTGATACAATTTTCAACATGATACAAGTCTGAACAAAATAAGAATTGAAATCAATTTTCGTTAAAATTTGGTTAAGTATTTCCCTTTTGTTTTTGTGATACATTTACATCCTTCATACAATGAGAATAAGATTAATAAACTAAACTTGAACTTGGAATTTGAGTCTTATTTCGTTCAGAATTGTATTATACGAAATCTTATCTTATCATTCTAGTCTCACAAAGTATCCAATGTACTTTTCCATAGAAGATATATAAATTGCTGTAACAGCTCTAAATGTGTCTAAACTCTGAAGTTCATCCTTGATGACAAAAATGTAATCAAATAACCTATGAATCAAACAAGCAACAATTCATTTGTTCTGATGATGAGGTATACAATACGTTAATAGATTAAAGATAGTATTCTTTAATCTTATACTGAAGATTGAGATGCTGTATATTTGTTTTATTGGTTAGATGGAAGATTATACTGTAGGATTGGATGTATCTTAAATAAATCAAAATACAATGAATATCAATCTGATCTGAGAAAAAAAATCTAATTGTTATATACTGTGATGAATAGCCTTGGAGGTAAATGTAATAAAATGCATTGCTTACTCAAAACCAAAAAACAATCCACTCGTTCCAACGATGAGGCACACGGTGACATAGAATACTCCAGTCTGTGGTGCCATCATTACTCTGCCGTCGCAACAAAAGCGATTCCTACCTGGGAATAATTCCCATTTTCGTGTGACGTGAGGCATTTTGGGTGAAACTCGTCTCACATACTGCTATATATGAACGCATGGATCCCGGCAACAGGCTGCTGGAGATTAATCACAAACGCGTGATTGTGTCCCTTGGGCCATGTTCCCACTCGAGAATTCGGACAGGCATATTTCATCTCGTCAGCGTTGTCTGGTGAAAAAGTGGAAGCCGCATGTGCCGACGGCATCCATGTATTAATCATCAACTCGTCGTAACGTCTGTGATCGCTTGTTCGTGGAGCTCTCGTGCTCCACCTGCGATCGGATCGCCCAACACAACTTAACCTTTCCTGAGATTAGCTATTTTTTTCAAGTCGACGGTAACCTGCCGGAGAAATTAGCACTACGAGATGAGTTCCATTCTCTGCAAGATCGTGGTGGATCTCTAGCTATCCATGTAACGTCAACATCGTCGTCATCATCACCATCATCATCGTCGTCGTCCTCGTTGTCGTCGTCGTTATCGTCGTCGTTGTCGTCGTTCGTCTCGGTGACCGCCAACAAAACAAAGGGTCGCGGTGAAAGGGTTGCGGTCGCGTCGAAGGCAGTCGAAGGAATTGGGTCAGCGAGGCCACTCCAGGCCACTCACGGGGCCTCGTACGAGAGTACTGTCGGCACGCTACGGTTCCTTGTATTCTCGAGGACTGTCGCGGCCACCCTCGAAGCCTCAAACCGTTAACGTCCTCGTCGGCATCGTTGCGATCGCGCGATGAGCGTCCAGCCGTCGACGACAACGCGCATTATTTACACGGTCAAGTACACCACAACGACCACAACTGCCTACAACGTGCTTCCTAGTCCATTTACTCTCCGCTCGCGCGACTCAGCATTCAGCGCGATTCTCGCGAATACGCGCGCAGCGACCCCGCGCGACCTCGCGCGAAAGCGCCACGTGACTCGGCGTCACGTGACCCCCCGAGGAAGACCCGAGCGATCGCGATTCAAACGTTCGGGCTCGTCCTTTTCGCGCGGGTCGATCATCGATCATCGGAATTTCTGGCGAGGAGAAGTCATCCCTTCCGTTGCGTCGGTTAGCGCGACGCCTCGGAGGATTCCCGTTGATCCCCGTCAAGCGGGAATTAAAAACTTTCGCGGTACAGAGAAGCGAATCCCCATCCCAACGTTTCGACCCATCGGGGACCTTTTTGACGCGAAACGACGCGGACGCGGGCGTGATCTAACCGCCGCTTCTTCGCGGCAATGGCAGGTAAAAAAAAAGACAAAAAAAATACAAAAAGAAGGCGCTCGTCGATCGTCGCGCACGAGATTGATTATTTAACGGTAAGGGAGGGTGGCGAACAGCGCGTGACTTATTAGCGCCCCCGTTGCAAAATGGGTCGTCGTCGTCGTCGTCGACGACGACGCAATGCGGCACGTCGCCGCACGCGCGCGCGCACGCAAAACATACACAACGTACGTATACTCGGTGCACTGCGTGTGTGTGAGTGGCCAAGGAAATCCTGAAAATATATCGAACAATCCCGCCATCTTCGCTCACGCGAGCGACGTTCTCGATTGTGAAATTTTCGCGAAGCAGATGCGACAATGCCCGCGAGGTGATCCATATAGATCCATGATGACAATGTGCTGCACTGATATGGAAAATATGTAGAGATTTCGTCACACACACACGTATGTGTGTGTGTGTGTGTATATATATATATATATAGATACAAGAAGTATTATTACACGTCTGTGCTATCTACACTACCATATATCGATATAAAACACTTCTTATACGGTATTAGTTCTGTAATGGATGCTGGGATCTATGTAGCTTATATTGTACCACATATATGCAGCGTATATTTGGAACGACGGTAGAAAAACGCGCGTCTTTCGATTACACGAGCAATGTTAAAATCAACGTTGCGTGTAATTTACACATCTCGCAGTTTAATTTTTGACTTTTTACAATTAACAATTTAACATCGATCGTAAAAGTATATCTGTTATATAATTTGAAAAGCCATGAGATTACATAAATCGCTGAAAATTTCAAACATCGAGAGCTTTATTCAAGTTTACGTTTCTCTAGAAACGTTTATATCGCGACGGAGAGCCAGCCCCTGCGGGAGGAGTAGAGGAGGATCCGGACGGGGTAGATCATCGAACGGCAGGTAATCGATAGCCTGCAACAAATCGGAATGACGTATACACACTACCCTACATTATATATGCGTCTCGAAGAAAAGAAAAAAAAGCTGCCGCGTACGAAAATTACGCGGAATAATCAACAGGCTGATCGTATGAAGAAGAATCGGCGGATATGAAATGATCGCACGTCGCGTTGACGAGCCTCCCTCCCGAGTCGTATCTACGATCGAAGGTACAGCCGAAACGGCTGCGGCGGCGGAGGTGGTGGCGGTGGCAGCGATAGCGATGGCGGCGAGGGTCGTCTCGACAAGGGGATAGGGGTCGTCGATGTGCGGCGTGAGAGAAAGGTGCGGTAGGAAGGGCGGATAGAGCAGCGGGAGCGTGAGGAAGAGAGACGGAAGGGTGATCGTCGACGGGAGGGTGTATGAATCGTTGTTGTGGAGCGAACGGGAGCGGATGGACGGACGGACGCAAACGCGGACGAAATCAGCTCGGGCGATCGATACGATAAATGGATGCGTGCGATTGGTAGCCGGGAAAATCGATGACGAGCACAGGGGGGCATACCCTACCTCTGCCTCTGCCTCTGCCTCTGCCTCTCTAGCCAGCCGCGGCGACGGGCGAAAGCCGGCGTGCCGCGCCACACACCGCGCCGCTCGCCGCACCGCTCGGAGGAGTATAGGATGGAGCAAAGACCGAAATATCGATTTTTAGGCCCCTACGCGGCGGTTCGTTCGATGCTCGTATCTACCCCGTACCCCCGTACGTCCTGTCCGCGCCAAGCGCCTTTCAAAACACCGACGACGCGCGCGAGCTACACCGCGCTCGTCCACGCAGCCCCGACGTTGCCGTCAGCCGTCGTTCTCTTCTCCTCGCCCTCCTTGTAATTCGGATTTATCGTCGCGTAAAATTGTGGGATTCCGGTTGGACTGGAGTTACAAGTGGATCATTACCGGTGCGCCGATGTTCTCAGGTAAATCGCGGCAGCGGCAAAGATGACGTCTGACCGGAGAGAGAGAGAGAGAGAGAGAGAGAGAGAGAGAGAGAGAGAGAGAGAGAGAGAGAGAAGGTGGGAGGGAGGGAGTGAGAGAGAGAGAGAGAGAGCGAGAGAGGAGGGAGAGAGTGCTCGACGCGACGTGCATTCTCTTCCCCGTGGATGATTTACGAGCTATACGAGCGCTCGTCAACGCGGTCATAATCAACGCGCGGTGTCACCTGCAAGTGTTCTCGCGGTGTGATTGAATATTCGAGGTAAAAGGGGGTACATATACGCGCGCAAGATCGGCAGCGATCGGCGGGAATTTAAGGAAGGCAGGGGTATTATTGAATAAACACGCGAAGTAAATTTACGGCAAGGGAACAGTGGAAGTCTAGGTGAGGAATTCGATTAATATAGTTGAGAGTTGCGAGCAAACGGCGGGGATCAGTGATACTTTGACGCGGGCAAGTTTGTCATTTATCGGCCTGCATTGATCTGTATACGGGCGGCGACAGCGGACGAGCGGATTGGATTAAGCGTGACCAAGGAAACACTTGACACCTCGCAAGTGTGCAAGTAGATCGTCTGTAACGATCCCGCGGGGATAATATCGTACGTCTTGTAAATACTCGATCGATTTACAAGGATAATCGCTTTAGGGATTTTCGATCGTCTTGTAATTCTTTTACGAATCGAAGCAACGCGGATGATTGATACGATTGCGCTTGTACAATAATAAAGGATCAAGTGGAATGAATGGAGATTCAAGAAGAATCATTCGCTGGATCGTAAGATCGCGAGATCGTAAGACGATCGTGGCTTCGTGGCAAGGGGGGCGACGCGACGTGTAGCTTTTTCCGAGTCTTTCCCGGCCGCCTTTGCAGATGACTATCCGCAATCGCTAATCGCTAATCGCTAGATCGATAGCGATACGGATAAAAATGCGCAAGACACTGACGGGAGAGAAATTCGATGCTGTGATATCCCACC